TGGGAAAAAAATTCAGTGCAAAAGAGAAACCCCGAAAAAAAAGCCTAAAAACACACTAAAAATACCCCCAAAACCCAAACCTCTGCTTGGAGAGTACCCATTTTCGGCGCGCGTGTTGGCCAGAGGGCAACCAATTTTTTTTCCAAAATCAGGCGAAAATCAATGCGCGCTCTGATGTCATCCGTAAAAATTACTTGCTGTGGCCTAATCAAAGGATTATTGTATTAACTCCGTTTAGCATCTGCTTGAAGATACAGATGCTCACGCCGTGTGATATCAGCCAATCAGAGCGCTGGACGTAATTAATGACATCTCAGTAGGTGTCCCATCTGTGACGTCACGGGGTCACCCCTAGTTCATTTCACTCCTTCGCTTCACACGTTTGTAACTCTCAAGTAAAATGTTATGTTCCGTCCACAACAAGAATTTCATTGAACTGAATACCCATCGAAAAATTCCACAAGGTAAGTGCGACAGCTTTAGAATAAATTTGACTCAGATTCGGTGGCTGCTTACTTAGCATTTAGGTGATTTATGGTTTTAGTGGGGGAGGGGGGCGGTTGGCCGGGCATTGCATCATGCAACTCTCTCGAGGCCGGTGACCGGTTGAAACCGATTTGCAGGCCAGACATGTCTAGTCGCTTGGGAGATTGTAGAAGTCGCTTTCTGTGATCCTGGCCATTCTGGTGGTTTGCAGAGGTATGAAGCATTCATATTCTTTTATTAAGTTTCGGTGACAAATGCTATAAGTAACCTTAGAGCTTGACTAAGGTTGTGATTTTGGTACAGTTTTTCGCGATGCCTCCACCCGGCTGCATTAGCCTGTGTGTGAGAGAAAGCTTCTTGGTGACAGTGAGATAAATTTGAAGCCGAAGACTGTTAAATGATTTAAATACAGTATTGGAAGCGTGTGATAAAATTAATAACGTTAAAGATAGTATAATTATCATTTATGTAAGGTCTTTTACAATTCTAGTGGTGTAAGGTAACGTTAATTGTAAGTAGAGCTCTTTGGCCCGGTTAGTGTCGTTTTTACGCATTAGATTCAGGTAGGAATTGTAAGTTTAAAAAACTGAGAAAACCACTTTGACTTTGAAAATTGGAACAGGTCAAATTTAGAACAACTCATTTGCATGTTATAGAAGGGATTACAATACCTCCTCATGCCCTAAGGTTCATTGTCCCCATATGGTCAATGAGAAACTGGGGCAAAGGTGGTTGCAGGCTTCAAAAGGTATCAAATTTCAAATGTGAAGGGTGGCTCAAATTCCTTTCTTTTTTTTGTTCTACTTGCTGTAAATAGTGTAACAGTGGGAGGTTTATATGCACTACCAACTGATCCGTCTGACGGGTCTAGACCTTTTAGCCGAATGGTTAGAGCATTGGGGTATGAGCTGGCAAGGAGTGTCTTTCTGTTTCTACTCCCCTTTTGTTTCATTAACATGATTACATCATGTAACAGCTATCTGCTCTATGTACCGTACGGTTATTATCAATTCATCATCATTATTGGCCGGTTGCAATTAGAGGCTCATTAGACAGACACATAATTTTCATTTTTATGTTCTTCAGAAATTTCGAACCCATTTCAGAGGGCCTGCAAGAGGGGGTGCCAACAACGCTCTACGATGAATTCGGAAACCTCTCGATTACGCTTTACGATAAATTCCAATTGGCTACAACGCGTTACGTAGAATTAAAATGCCAAATACGCTCTACGCTAAAATATTAGAGCGGTCCGTCTACGCTCTACGTAGAATTAAAACGGCCGATTACGCTCTACGGAAAAGGGTTTGCGGGCCCCCATTTCATTCTTTACCCAAAATACATGAAAGCGAAGATATGTTATACACATAATATATAGGCCTGCCTGATCCCATTGTATTTTTAAATTAAAATTGTTTGATGTTATGGGTACAGTATACTAGTAATAAGCCTATTGATTTCTGTATGAGTGCACCCTTTATGGGTAAACCTGGCTCTAATTGCATTTCATTTAGGAAATTCAAAATGTCTGAAATTTTTGCATGGCTCCGCCCCTTTTCTCCATGCCCATCCATGATAAGGGGCGTATCAGATGCAACCTGCACCTTTGTGGGTCAGTGCTATTTACAGCTGTTTAGGTCTATATAACTATCAAACACAGTGCACAGTCAGAAACACTTCAAATGGTTACACATTGTACACAGTCTATATGCACCTCTAGCCACAGCCTATTGTAAAAACCTTCACAAACTAAAGCCCTGGTCACAACCCGCCGTGTGTGCTTTTTGTCCGTACTTTTTTTTTGAGGCCACGTCTGCTACGTTTTTCTAAAAACGTGAGGAAGGAGTGGCGTTGACGCACGTCACTCGTACGGTTGCGCAAGGTGTAAGAGTGTCACTGGTCTGCACGCCACGTCTGGCCGTGAGGGGTTACGTGCATTGTTCGTTGCGCAAGTGGTAAGTGAGTTGTACGTGCTTACAACGTACGATCTCTGTGCGATTGCAACTTAATCGTAAGGAGGCCGTACTCACACGTGCGTCTTACGGGGTACATACGGGGCAGGTGCATCGCTCGTACTTGCACGCACGGGTGGTGAATCCGTAGACCGCACACAGAAAAAGTTTTACATGCACTTAAAGTTCTATGTTGTGTTCTTTTCCAGTGATGTGCATTAGCTGACACTTGCTGTGACCCTGCCATTTTGCTGTCCAGTTGTGCTGTCCTACTATAGAACAGCATGGAGAATGTTCCAGCAGGGTTTCCAGCCACCAGCATGGTGTGGCAGGGTATTTCTGACTTCAGCGCAGGGGCCATCGGTAGGTTCTTCTAGTGCTGTGTACCTAAACCCACCTTTAGCTATAGGTTCAGGTCCAGATTCAAGTCCAGAGGTTTAGGTTCAGTTCCGGACTCGTAAGTCCATTGTATATTTATATGTAATAATAAACTAACAGAGGCAGATAATTTTTCTTTTTTAAAACAAGCCTAAAGTAAAGATCAGAGTAGTCTTCATATTATGTAGTCTATAAACTGTTTCTAATTCTTGAGATGGAAGAAATTTGTGAAACACCTCATCAGAATTGAAGTGAGTTTTCTGTTGTTCTTCTTTGTTGGAACACAGGTGGAACAGCGTGTGTTTTTGCGGGCCAACCGTTGGATACGGTCAAGGTGAAACTGCAGACATTCCCTACGATGTACCGCGGTGCTTTTCACTGCCTGACACAGACTGTTCGAGAGGAGAGACTACAAGGCCTGTACTCTGGAACAGTACCGGCACTCGCCGCCAACATTGCGGAAAATGCCATATTGTTCACGTTCTATGGACTTTGTCAAAAAGTGGTGCAGTATGCCAGTGGTGTGGACAATGTCAACAACCTCAGGTAAACAACGAAAAAGGTTTTATTGTTTTCCATGTCAACAATATGCTGCATACTAGTGTACAGTTAAAGATTTTTTTATTGACTCAACAAAAAGTACAGGGACTTTTGTATATGAACTACATACTGAAGTTGAAACCACACTATCACAATGTATATTGACCCTCATGGAACAAAAATTCCCAAAATTTTGATGAAAAATGGTTACTGAAAGGGCCCTGGGCTAATTTTTAGGGTACCACCCAGAAAATAAAGGAGTCATCTTGGGGCTTGTTTATGCAGTTTTAAATGCCCAAAGTATGAAATACTGAGTCAAATGTACTAATGTGAAGCAGTGATGTGTTAATATCACAAAGATTCAGAAAATTTCCAGTTTTACTGCCCTGAAATTGCATTGGATGCTTTTAAAATGCACAGTAACTAAGTGGGTTTTTTATTTTGTTGTTTCCAGCTCTCTACAGAGTGCTACAGCAGGATCTATGGCAGCGTTTTTCTCCTCTATTGGACTTTGCCCGACAGAGCTGGTCAAGTGTCGTCTGCAGGCAATCAAGGAGATGGCAGCGGAGGGGAAGGTGGCAACAGCAAACATGTGAGATTTACTCAACAGTGTGATATATTGGTGTGGGGAGGGGGGCATCATCTGGGCATCAAAGTTTAGATTTCACATTAGTGTACTGATCCCTAAAACACAGGATTTTGTTCAAAAACCCCGCTTTTGTTGCCATAAACTTTAAGTCAAGTGCATGCGCATGCACTTAGTATCACTTGATTGAATGCTGGTACAAGATTGACAGGCAGACAGGTCAAAAGGTTAGGCACAGGAACTAGCCTAAGGGTGAACTTGAGACTATAGGTTCATAGGATGTGGATGGAGGAAAGATTGACAGGCAGGATGACAGGCCAAAAGATCAGACACAGCAAATAGGGTGAACTTGAGAGTAGGTTCACAGTATGTGGGTGGAGGGAAGATTCAGTCGGACAGGCAGGATGGCAGTTCAAAAGGTCAGATAATGAAAATAGGGAGAACATTTGATGGTCTGACAAAACCCCCAAATACCGTACTTCCCAAAAGTCTGAAAGCTTTGATTATGTTTACCAAAGAAAAAACATAATGTTTTTATCTTTTTGCTCAGTTTTCTCTTCTCCACACACATAATGTCAATAACCTGACCCAGATGTCTGTCACCATGGTACATGTACATGTAACTGGTATTGGGTTACATCATGTGAATGTGTTTGAGTAAGAATTAACAGAGCAGACCATATGCGAATTCAAAAGGTAAACATTATGCATTTGCTTTGCAAATGTTACCATTCCAGTTATACATTTATATTTTCTTGTTCCCTCGGACAGTGGACCATGGGGAATGACCAAACAGATCGTACGACAGGAGGGGTTCCGAGGCCTGTTCCAGGGCATGACCAGCACCTGGGCACGAGAGATGCCCGGATACTTCTTCTTCTTTGGGGGCTATGAGCTGAGCAGAAGTCTGCTGACCCCTGCTGGCAAGACTAAGGATGATCTTGGTGAGTACACATGTCCCACATGCATGTGAACTAGTTATGCGTTATGATATATATTATTAAGAGCACTTTAAGGTTTGTAATTCCACAACTTTTCAAGAATGGTAACTGCAGTTACTACTAGTATACAAATTACTACAAAGCCACTTTGCTAGCCCTTACATTTCAGGATGATTTGAAGCAAAACAGACATCATTTTAAAGTGCTTCAAATTAAAGTATTCTTTCTAGTCCCTCAAGATTTCAATTGAATGCTAGTACAAGTTCTACAAATACTAAAGCCTACTGAGTAAAGAGACTCTTTTTACACAACCAAGTCTTTTATTCAGCCAACGTTTCAGTGACCATCTGTCACCTTCCTCAGGGCAATTCTGACTGGTTCACAAAAAGCACTGCAGCACGGGGTGTCACTGCTATAGATGCATTCCCAAACATACAATATTTATTACATATATACACATATACAGGGAACCGTATCTACAATCCATAACCTGATGAAACTATTCACGGACTAAAGCCTATTTTTGATACGTCCATTGACACCTGTACATTTGCCTGCCCATCTACAGGACCAATGCGGCTGATTGTGTGTGGAGGGATAGCGGGGTCTTGTCTGTGGGGTTCCATATACCCCATAGACGTGGTGAAGTCTCGTATCCAGGTGTACTCACTGGCCGGCAGACAGGCTGGGTTCATCGCTGTCTTCTTACAGATCCTCAGGAACGAAGGTCAGTATCAGGGCTCGAAATTAAAGGTTGTCCAATGGCCACTGACCACTAAAATTTAGACTGGGCACAACTAAAAAGTCACTTTGGGATATTTTTGGGACAACAGAAAAATAATCAACAATAGAATGTCAACCCTTCTTTTGTTAATCAGGCACACGTCCCGGCTTTGAATCTGGAAAAGCCGAATTTCCTGTCTACTCTGCAATTACAGTGTGCCTGGGAGTGAACATATAAGCAAAATAAAGTTGACTTCATACAATACTTCCCAAAAAACAGGTTGGGACAGTTCATCCTCACTTCAGGACAATTGAAATTTATATTTGGAACAGTGCTAGGACAATAGGAAGGCCTGCAGTATAATAAATGGTTTATTGGTCAAACATTACCCATGCAATCACAGTCTTTTATAGCGCTGAATTCTGTATCTGTATAGCCGGTATAACCGCCTTTGGCGTAACACACCAGCTTCGCAGGCACGCAGCGCGGCGGCAGCTGGCTATATTACACCAATCGACTTGTTACACCTAACCCTTGAACTTCTAGCTCTAGACATTGTTTAAAGCTATGTCCAGACATGTCCTGTGTACAACTCAGGATCGAACCCGGGTCTTGCCATTTCATAGTTGAACGCTCTACCACTACGCCACCCAAGGCCACTAATAAACAGTAGTAATAGAAGGGATATAAAGCGATATTTTGTAAGATTTTCACTATGTTAGACATTGTTGTTTTACACATTTCTTTGCACTATAAGCCTGCCTATATGTAGGTTCATTATGACATTTGGGGAGTAAAAGGTCATTTGCCCTGTCGCTTCATATTTTTTATGAAAAAAATCGAAGAACCAACAAATCAAATTTGTGTGGCCTTAGAAGGGCATGCAGAGTAAGAGCCAATAGGCATGCAGCTTTCTTCTATTCTTCTTGCTGATTGGCTGTTGGGATTCAATTGGGTTAGGGTTAAACCATGCCCATATTTGGTATTCACACAGACCTTTTATTTTTGCAGGTGTGCGTGCCCTGTTCAGTGGGATAGGACCGTGTCTCATACGGACGTTCCCTGCCAACGGTGCTCTCTTCATTGCCTACGAGTACTCCAGGAAGAACCTGTTACAGTTTGGAGAAAGCCTTGGATTGTAGAACTGTGGAAACAATGTTACTACTCTTTCACTTGTCAATCAACACTAAGATTTTTATGGGCATTTTTGTATGATATTTTTTTAAATGGATGAACTTTTCATTGAGGTATATATTTATAAGTAACCAGCCATGTGTTTTTGGTGCACTGGTACAACTAACTTGAACGTGCGTATGAACACAAAAAATTGCTCAAAATTGGGTGTACAACATAACATGGTATAGTACATTTAGCACATTTACATAAGGCCATGTTGATTTGATTATATGGATGACATCCTCTGGGAACCCCATAACTGATGCGCGCGTGCGAATAAAAAAAAAGTTTTGCAAAAAAAAAAAGTTGCTTTCACTATGAAATCTACGTGGTCATGAAGGTTGAACAAATGGCACAGAATATGTTATGGCGAATAATCTACTCTTTTCATTTCATTTTCTATTCATTTCTTTACATTTTTGTCTTTTTTCCTTTGATTTTGGCATTCTACGACATTGGTATCGTTTCTAAATGTTTTCCTTGCAACTTATGGTATATTTTTGCTCATTTAGCAACTGTTTTGCACGATTTACAGTATGGTTGAAAACTTTTTTTTTTTGGAAACGGCCGAAAATTCATGCGCGCGCGGATGTCATCCATATAATCAAATCAACATGGCCTAACGGTATCTAACCCAAATATCTAGGTACACCAGTGCACCCACAGTCAGAAAATAGGTGCACAGCTCCAATTTAGATTGCACGAAAGTGCAAAATTTACACCCAGTATTTCAAGCTTTGATACTTGATATTCTTCTCATTATGCAAAGATTATAATAATTATACACGCACTATGACTGGCTGAATTCCTTTTTAGTCTTATTGTGATGACAAGTGCCTACCTATAATTTATATTGTTATATCATAATGTAGGGATTATCCAATGTAGATCACAGATAGTTTAGGCCAGAACACTGTCGTATACTACTCAACCACCAGTAATACAGCATCAACGAAACTTCATTATGCCCAAAGACATGTTTTATTTTTTGTTGTTGTTGATCTTTAGCTCATTTCATTCAAAGCAATGTTAAGTTCCTTTGTGTAACTTTAAAAGAATTATTATACACTGGACATTGAGATTTGCCATCTATAGTTTATTGTGTACAGCACAATATTCCTCTGAATGAAGTAAAAAAAAGCTAAGGTGGAATAAAGCAACAAGGAAACTTTTGGTGCTAAATGTGACCAAATGTTATGATATTTTGTCAGAACAAGGTGTGTATTATTTGTGTCGAGGTCACCAAGTAAAAGAAATTTCTTACAAAATAAGATTTACTGAATAGTACATGACATTGTGTAAGGGCACTTAAGATGTGTTTCAAGGAAGTGGAGAAAAACAGAAGTGATTGTAGTTAAATTGTACAGAAGTAACTCGAGCAAGATTACAGAGACTGTTGTCATAACTACATGTACATGTATGAAGGATTATTGTAATTGGTAAACTGTATACCAGTGTGTAGTGAGGCCAGTGGTGGTAAAGGTGCTCAAAAGGTAAAAAAAAAGTGTGCAAAATCTTACAAACAAAACTTGTCATGTGGATTTAATGAGTGGCTGCCTTATTATATTAGCTAATCCCAGATTCCATCAGGGGATGGATGGGACCCCAATTTGTCATCCATGGTCTTTTTGACTGAATCATGGTACGTTTTAATAGTGTTGACTAATAGTGTTGAATAATGGATCCAGATAAACTTCCGCAGAAAGGGTCGAACCACGGAAACACGTCATCGCTTAAAATCAAATATTAACGACTGTACCAGCAGTTATATAGGTGAAGGACAAATAGGAGAAGACTTGAATGTCACTTTATAGGCTATTGTACCGTCTCGTCTGCTATCGTATTGTATCGAACAAAACATCTGCACTTTAACGTTTGTGAACATTCATTTTGTGTCGACAATATTATACAACCATATACAATCACGCACGTGCACCCCAGATTACAACCCCCAGCTAGAGTTGTATTTTTAAGCCATTGGTCCTGTCGACTGTCTGTCTTGGCAATGGCGGATAGTTCCCGCTCAAAGAAGATATTTAAAAAAGCTAAACATGTCTGAATCATGCAGTCTGGTCATAGAAAGTAGAAGGAGGGATATGTGTGCTCCATTACCGCCCTGGCTATAGTATATAGTTAAAACTGAAATGGGGCGTCCTACCAATACCTCTAGCTGTGTCAGTCTAAGTGCAGAGTATGGTAACTTGAGAGAGATACACATCCAGGCAGGTACGTCCAGTGATCATGATACATGAACACTTTTGTAATATAAAAATTTGACCGAATTAGGTTTTGATGAGAGATGGTCACCGTCGGCGACTGGCTTACAGGATAACTCGTCCTCAGTTTTGGCAATTACAGATCTGGAGAGTGAAAGAAAGGGAATCGGAACTGAGTACGTTTAGAACCAGGTCAGTCAGTCAATCCGCCACACACTCACTCACTCACCCACTCACTCACTCACTCACTCACTCACTCACTCACTCACTCACTCACCCACACACCCACTCACTCACTCACTCACTCACTCATGTCCAAGCCTCTTTCACGTGGTGCATAGAAACCAGATACTTGGAATAGATGGCTTTTTTTTTAACAATACTTAAAAATCTGGCAAAGTGGTCTTGTGAAACTAGTGTAAAGGTGCTGGGTTCGAATCCCGAGCACGCCCTGCACCATGTTGGTCCATATGCATGGAGGGTGAAACACTTGATACCTATTTCCTCACTCGACTCGACTCAGAAAATGAGTACCTAGCTTCGGTTAGGAGTAGGAGGCACACGTGTGATATAACGTTACGTGGAAAAACGGGTAACACGTGTAGAACATATCGATAGTATCTTTCACGCAATTAGTTGAATGAATTAGCGGTTGATTCCTTACCAAGCTATGGGTATCACAGTATCCGCCCGCATACCCAAAGACGATACAGCGAAGGGAACATGCATCCATACTAGTGTATGCAGTGCCCGATGCAGTGTGGTCCCAGCCAAATGCACTCAGGATATCACAGGTGCTGCAAGAAAGGCAAAGCGCAAGTCACGAATATTGTTACTGGTATAGCGCAAGGCGTTAGATCGAGAAACGATAGCTAAACATTTACAGAATTTGTCTCTGTCTCTCTGTGTGTGTGTGTGTGTGTGTGTGTGTGCGTGTGTGTGTGTGTCTCTCTCTTTGTGTGTGTGTGTGTGTGTGTGTGTGTGTGTGTGTGTGTGTGTGTGTGTGTGTGTGTGTGTGTGTGTGTGTCTTTCTCTCTAAAAGGACCAGTCTTAGATGCTGTTACACCAACAAGTCGACCTCTGTGACATTTTTCTTTCGTATTTTGAAGGTGACCATGTCTTGTCTCGATCTTAGAGTCTCCTAGGCTTAGACGTAACGATGACTTCTACTTACACGCGTGGCGTCTGCCCAATCTTGAGCTTGATCTTCGGAAAGGCCTGTTGCAGTGTTGGTGAAATTTTAAAAAATAACAACATTTTTTACTTTTTGCCAAACCTCCGACTTGGTGAAAGAAACTTTGCATCGAAATATTAATATTATGGCCTAGCTAGGATATAGGGATTTTCTTTTACACAACCAGTATTGTCTCATTTTCTTACGTTTCGGTGTCTATCAGACATCTTCCTCAGAGCTCCTGACTGGAGTTCTGCTTGAAATAGATATCCATATATCCTATGCTTTACCAACCTGATTAAACTATTTTCCTAAGTAGTAGCTAGCTAGGGCAGCCCTCCATTCAAAAGAAGATTCCGAAAATAAGTCAGAGCCTACTAGACAGATACATAGGGAGTACTTCGATAGAAAATAATTGAGAGAGATAAATGAAACATAAAATATAAAAACTTGCCTCGGTAGTGGTGGCCAGAACGGCCAGCACAAACCCAGCGACGAGCAACTTCATGGTATAGATGTACTGTGTATGTGGGTAAAGTCGTCCACCGTGGTTTAAACTATAAGAACGGGGGTACTTGCGTCGCTCTATACATGTACTTATACCCTATGCTTCTGAAATGACGAATATGTGACTGAATTACGGTAACGTTATGTTACTAGTATTACCAAGGACTTTTTATAGACGTCCTTGACACACATTGCATATTTACAAAGCCTAATTTTAAAACATGTATATATATATACACACAAAAGCACGGTGACTTTGACCCACTGTCCTTGTCAAGTGTACTGATATGTGGGGATATTTTAAAGAACATTAATTATTAATATATTTGAGAATCCATAAATATACTGGAGAAGTAACATTTGCAAAGCAAATGCATAATGTTTACCTTCGGACATGGTCTGCTCTGTTAATTCTTACTTAAACACACTCAAATACAGGTATTATTAGTATATGGTGACAGAAGCAGAGCAGACCATAAAATTGCAACATTATGTAACCCAACACCAGTCACCATGGTGACAGACGTCAACAACTCAGGTCATTGGTCAGGTCAGAGGTCACTGAAAAAGAAGAAGATGAAACTGAGCAAAAACAATTTGTTTTCCTTCGGTAAACATAATTTTCATGATTAGTTTTTATCTCACCTGCCTTTCTCTCCTAGCTGCATCTTTGAAGTAATATGGCGATTTGCCCTTCATCTAGAAGCGTTTATCAGTCAAGGATAGTTTTATCCTGTTACTAAAACTTTTTTTTCGGTTACAGGACGTCTTCCCGTTTGATGTTTTTATGACAAATATTTTCAAATTTTAACTGCCATGATACTAACACCAAATTACCTGACATCAGGTATTTGGGTAGGCAAGGTTTTTCCTGTAGAATGGGGGAGGCCCGGGAGGGGGTAACTTTGAAATAGTTTATTTTTGCAGACGTAACGTTAATTGTTGCATAAATACTAGTAGACCATTATTGCACGGGGTGCGCCGTGATTCCATGGAGGGATGTCGATGGATGAAGAGCGAAATATTATACATTTGCTCACAAATGTTGGCTTCCTAGTAATATTTCTATGACATACTAATAAGACACAAAATTCATGTTTGAAAGTGAAGATACGGCGTAATAATATATAGTCATGTGTAGGACCAACTGCTTGAGTCTATTTACAAGAAGCAATGATCAAACATATTGTCTACCGTAAAGGTATTTCTTTTTATTTGAAGTCACCCAAGAAAGTGCCGTTGTTGCTGGACACTTTGGCGTTGGCAGCGACGGCGTCGCCCGCCGAGTCTCCCACCTCCAGGCTGTGCTCAGAACCGGTCTGGGATGGGACACAGTTATATACTATAGGCATGCGGAGTCTCAAACACAATCAAGAAAACAGAGACTTGTATGTGCACCGAGAATCTAGCTATACAGTGCAAACACTAGTAGCAATGACATGGTGTACAAGAAGACCGACAAAGAAATCTAAACTTAAAGGATACTGATTGGTTACAAAAAGTTTCTCCATGACATTCACTGACTATACTCACATCAGGCATTTGGTGTTCATCATGACTTGCTGGTACTAGTATTTGTGACTCTAGCACGGCGATTCTTTGCATCAGAAACGCGTTCTGCAACTGGACCTCCTCGGTGGTCGCCCTGAGATCCGAAATCTCCTCGTGATCTCGCTCGGCGCTCGCCTTGAGGCTCATGATCTCGTCGTGATCTCGCTCGGCGTTTGCCTTGAGGATCGCGATCACTTCGTGATCTCGATAGGCGCTCGCCTTTAGGACCATGATCTCCTCGTGATCCCTTGCCATCTTCTGGCTGATGTTGTTCAGGACCATCGCCAGCACCACTGCGGCGGTGAGGACCGCGACCACCCCGAACACCCCCGCCAGGAACACCCGGGAACCGCGCTTACGGCGGGATGGCTTCTCCGGCTCGATGGGACCGTAGAACACCTTCTCTGCACTCATTTTTTTTACATTTAATGTAAATGTAATAAGACGGAATCTATCCTTCTTTGTTTCTTTCTTTCTTTGGTAGTTTGGTAACTCTGCAAGCCATGCAATACCTGTTTACTTCTTTCCGTTTTGTGGGATATGCAATAGACTTGCTGCCATTTTAATCCATGTTCTTTACAAAAAGAAACTTAATGTAGTAACTTTATGTAGTCTCATCTAGTGACATGCCATTGATCGAAGTACGGTTAAATAAGTTTTTAGGCGCTAATTTATTGATCGTACTACAAAATCTAACGATGATTGCATAAATTATGTTAATGACAACAATAATGCCGCCTGTCGCTAGATGTCG